AAATGAACCAATGGAGAAATCGCCCATATTTAAAAGGTGCTGCACATTCACGAGAATATGCACAGTATGTCTGTCATGGTGAAATCAAATCCATACCATAAAGTAACACAGCTTCTAAAACGAAAATAGAAAAAGATATTGACTTGTAGTTTTTTCCTAATTTCTTATATTTGCTTCAAGTCTTTGCTGACATAGTTCCCAAATGTATATTTTTTCCCTAAACTTTCGGAAAAAATTTTGGCTTTTTTCTGTTTTTCACCATCTCAAAGTGTTCTATCACTTTTTTGTCAAAATTATCGATGCTATGTACGTAAAAGTAATAGTTTTGTTACATTTATATTTCAATTCGTTAAAATACTTGTCTAATTCGTTAAAACATATATCCATTTGTTTTTATAGACTTGCCTTGAAAATCGTCTTGTATATAAAACATTTAAACTTCTATCTGCCTGACTAAGTATAAAATCGGAAGTTATAAAAATGCCACAACCGAACAACCTTGGATATAAAAATATATTTATAAACACGGAAACACGTCAAGTTAAGACAGTGTTGCCAATGCAAAAATAAAAAGTATCCAATTTGAGTTGCTTTCTTTCTAATTTAATACGAACACCGTGTATATTCTTTAAGTCAATGGAATTTATGAAGTTGAAAATTTGGTTGAAGGATATCAGAAAGCACTTAGGCTGTCTGCATGTTTTAATTATTTATTACTCCTAATTAATGAATTTATTTTTCACGTTCGAGTAATTTACCACATCCTGCAAATAAACTAATCTAAAATTAACTATTTTAACAAAATAAAAGATAACATATAATTTAAACACTTTGCGAACTATATTGTAGCTTATACAGTTATCCTAATTATTAGGGTTTAATAACCTGAAATGTTAATTTACATGGTTCATATAGGAACAAATTAAATTATTTTTAAAAAAACTGTAGTTTTTTTTAAGAGAGGAATGTAGAACTTTCTTTGTAATTAACTGAAACATTTTGTTTTCTACTCGTTTACTATAAGTTGTTAAATAAATGCTAATTTTCAGTTTCTTAATGATACTCATTATAACACTGGTTTTCATTATGAAATCGAAAAATTGACTAATAGAAATCTAGTTTTTTAAATAACCAAGTGGGCAGACCCAATATTTTCTGTAGAATGTTTGACATCTAAGAGACTCGTGTTTTATGACAGTTTCACTTATTTAAAAAATAAAATGTCGAGCGACGAAGAGTTTTCATGCACACCACTTGAAATCTCTAAAAAGGCGAAAAACGTATCATAGTAATTATATTGGTTATCGGGTAGGAATAAAAATTAAGTCGAAGAACTTATTTTTCTTTCATATTTTATTTCTTATTGTTTGAATAAAAAAGTATTAAAAAAAATAAAGCAATGTTGAATTGAAGGATTTTCTTGGTCGTAGAAAAAATAGTGTAAGCAACTCTCATGTAATGGCTTTTAATACAGTCGCATGAGATTTTCGACACTCGCCTGCGGATCGTGTCGTAACTTACCTTAAGCTCGTGTATTAATAGCTATCATTACATGATCGTTGCATAATAATATACTATTCTACGATTACTATGCAAAGTAGGCTATTGCACATTTAAATCTAACTGAAAAATTTACGTTCTCCGCGATTTGTTATAACTGAATAATATTGACGCACAAGTGTGGAAAAGTTACTTTGGTGCTGGCATATTTTCATTTGCAGTAAATAAAAAAAGGTAATCAGAATTTTAAAACCAAATGTAGACTAATTTCAATATTTTAGTAAAACATCTATTACAGTTCGGGACAGACACACTGAGAATGCAGCATAGCCAGGCATAGGCAATGTATTTCTAATGAGAGACCAGCACGCTGTGTTGTCATCTTTGCGATAGCTGTGACAGGGTCGGTCCAGTAGTAGTCAATGTTATTAGAGCATGTATTCTTGGTTGCATATATGAGGGCCGTTTGTCCTTCTTGATGTCTAATTGGACGGCTTTCTGCAGAAAGGAAATAACCCACAAAATTGTGATTTTTAGATTTTCGAATATTGCATTTAGAACCCGTAACCTTTAGAGCAAAAAAAGAGCCTGGTACCTCGCATTATTTATTAGCCAATGAACTATCCGACTTAATTGGTTAAGCAAGTAACCTGCCTGCAGAAGTAATCCAGGCGGCTCGGTTGTTTTCTGCATAATAGAGAAGAGAGTTGGTGACAGTTTGTGTAAGAGTGAGTGAGAAGTATTAAAAATTGAAAAACGAAAATTTTTGCGATACAGTATAAATGATAATATTAGCATATCTCAAAGAATTCTTCTGATGACAAAAGCTATTGGATAGGATAAGGAAAGGTTAAGCTTTGGTTAGGTAAATCGTGTATTAAAATAATTAATAAAAAAAAGTAAGTTGTTTAAAAACAAAATACTTCTTGGTAAATTTTTTCTAAAAAACAAATTTTGAAGACAACACGAATGCTAAAATAGATAAAACAATTGGGTCGTCCGGTATTATTTAAAGATAAAAATAAAGGAGAAAAATCTGTAATGCTCTTAATTCCGAACGATTTCATGCAATTTTATGAACATGTAACCGCAAGAACATCGACGACAATGTGAATGGATTCAGTGGCGGCATAGGTATTTAAGAGTCATCAAACAATATCGCCAACAAAATTGTAACGTTATCTATTTAGATGAGACTTGGGTGAACGTGGGTCAAACGGTTAATAACAATGCACGGTGTGATAACACCATAAAAATCATATTAATATCTAGGTGGACTATTCACCATTATAAACTTTTGCTTATATTCCATTAGGAAAAAGATAAAATTCTGTTTTTACTTTTTTTGGCAAAATTAAATTCTTTTTCTAAATATCGTATAAAAATTATAAAATTATAACATTTAAAATTATCAAGAAAACTTCAAAAAATGTTACTGTTTTAACATCGTCACCTAGTGTTCGTTTAAACAACTGAATCAGAAATATATCGACATTTTTTATTGACCAATCAATTTGATTTTTTTTTAAAATTCGATAAACGATTCCGTAGTAATAATAGTTTCCAATCGCCCCTACCAGTTATTTTATTGAATAGAGCAAAAATTATTGGATACAACTTTTGTAAAATTTGCCCAAAATTACAGTTCTTTTATTATTATCATACTGTAATTGGATATTTAACCTATAGTGCAACGAACCTCTCATTTTTTTTATAAATATATTTATAAAAAATATATAGGAAAGCTATAGTACTCAAATTAAAGTTAAATAGCTATTTTTAATTTTTTTGCATAACACCTAGCGGGGGCAGGGGAGTCTGTACTTATAAGTACCGTAGTGACTGAAGAGATATCTGTGTATGGACTTATAAGTATTGAAGTCTAAATAAATAACCAATTACATATTGCTAATTATATTACTGAAAAATACAAAATAATAAAACATTATGATTAGAGGTCCATATCGTGGTATCTTGAAAAACATTCACACATAAGTATTCCTAACAATGGGAGCACATGAAATGTTGTTTTGACTGTACAGTCATTAAGGAACAAGTCTCACATTATTAGATACACTATAGTTATATCTTCTACGTTTAGAACAGTTAGGAACATTTTCAATGATGTTATTAAATAACAAATTATTTTATTTGATATAGTAAACACCAATTTTCTAATTTCTGTATAAATACAAATACTATACCTGCCATTTAGTAAAATACAACATACTTTTGAACTGTCACTTCACACTCCATGAGAAGCTATTCTAAAGTGCTTTATGTAAACTATAGTCTCCAAATATCAAAATTGGTAGCGCTGTTTCCTATTAGTAAAGGTGTACTTGTGGGTACCAATGGGACTTCAATGCTATAAAGTTAATAGGCGTATAAATATTGGAAAATAAAGTCGACATGACTTTAAAGTACCGTCGTGACATAAAGGGTTAATGGGAAAAAGTGAAATTTGCTTTATCATAGCGAATTACGCGCTCAAACGGTTAAAATATAAAGTTGAAAATAATTTTTAGTACTTTCCCTTGACCGACATTGTTATACTTTTTCAAAGCAGTAGGATAAATTTATCGTGTGTGGGCAAAGGGGTATAAGTCAAAATTTTAAGTAAATTAGTTTCAGTCATCTATAGTTAGTGTAAGCCGTAGGATAAGTCAATACTTTCTATTAGGGTCGCTATTGAACTTGGACTTCATAATATAGCTTACAAAAATGCCTTTTTTGGTGGGAAAATCAGTATAGGTCAACTTATAAGGCATAACAGATTTACTCAGCTTCTAAATTTTTGACTTATATTCCCTTGCCTACCACCATAGAAATATTTTCCGAGATACAGTCGCTAAGACAGACGTTATGTTTTAACCAAATTTAGATTCTGTACGTACAATAATTGAATACTTCAAAATTAAAATATCTAACTTAAAATGTTTGTCACTTTACAAGCTCCCGGAATAAAACACTTCTCTGGCGGTTACTAACTTTGAAACGACATTTAGGAGGAAACCTTTGTCGCTTACAATATTTAAAACCTAAATATCTTGCAATCAGGATTTTTGGCAATTTTATTATTTTTTTTGGATCTATGTGAAATACTGTCAGGTTAAATTTTACATAAATATCTCAATTTGGCTAATTATGTCGCTTACGCCCTATTGTCAAAACACCATATTTATTTTAAATAAAGTAAAGAATTAATTTTTATTAAATCATTTTAATTATTTAATGTTACAAATCCATATATCCTATTTATAACTCAACAAATACTTCAATTTAAGTTCAAATTTGAGTACTATAATTATTATTTAATACCTACATACTCTTAGACACCTTTTGTTTAATTTTTGGCATTTCTAAATAATTGTATGCCTTTTATAACATCTTGTGATTAAATACTTTTTATAGATATTTTCATTTAAAAAACCAATAAACCACCAACATTTTTTTAGACAATAATACGCAATAAACTTAAAAGTTGAACATCATTTTAGGTTACAGTGAGGATTCCAGCGGCACCAAATGTATTCCACTAAAAGATTGTCCGTATGCAATGAATATGGTTCATACTGAAAAATATGCCTCAACAACAATTGAATTTTTAAAGAAATCTGATTGCGGATATTCTACAACAGATGGTCCTCTTGTTCAATGTCCAGCAGAAACTCCTTTGACGCCGAACCAGCAATCTGACAGCTTTGATTGTACAACAAGTACGGGTAAAAAAGGTAACTTTTTAATTTTCTTATAATACTAAAATATCACGTTATACGCGTTCTACAATAAATGTGTCACAAGTCAGGGTCCAAAATTAAAAATGGGACTAGCTATGTCCCACGGGGTTAAACGAGAAATATAATATTATGGACGGATTTTACAAGGAATGCTGTAAACTCAGTTTAGCTAACAGGAGTTTAATTTTTAACTGGTTATATTCAACGTACAAATGTCATTTTTAAAATAATGCTTTACGCAATAATCGATGATTATACTGTTACAAATCGATTGCTCATAAAGCAAAAGGTAATTGCTTGGAAGAGTTATAATGGTTGCATGTGTAAAATTTAGAGTATTGCACTTCCTACCTTTTAGTTCTTCCTCTTGAAGTATCTTCCTGGATCTGGATCTCGTGGAAAAAGCAGAGCTTCGAAAATAGCGAGGAAATCACAACAAAAGAGGAAAACAGTAAAATTATTATAAAGCACCAAACGCCGCGCGCCGGCCGTATTAAACTGTATCGCCCATATTTTTATCACGATCAATTTGTGTCTTCTCGCCAACTCAACGATCGGTCGAAATATATCAAAAAAAAGTTTAGTTTTGATAAACTATTCATACCGCTGTCCTCCAAATAGGGTAAAGCGGTGCAATACAACACATATTGAAAAATAAATAATAAGAAATTAATTGAGTATTCTATTCATAACGTCATATACAACGAGGTTTACAGTTTAAACTAAGATTATATTATTTCAATTACCTATTGTACAACCCGCTCTATGGCTCTAATTAGTGTAAGCACAAGATTTATTCGCATCGTATAAGTTTTCTTCTAGACTTAATGTCGAAACCTAAACCTAGAATGACTGAAGGAAACACTAGGTTTTCCCACAACAAATTTAGTGTATTTAAATCAACTATACAAGAAAGGTCACATCAAACATAAACAAATAAATAACTAATTAAGACCAAATATCTTATACAGTTGTTAAGACTTTAGAGGTAATTTTATACTTAATACCACAAGATGATTTTCATGAAGCTCTTTATTTTTAATTTGCACCTAAAGTTATATTACAAAATTAACAAAAATTTAAATATATTGTTACAGGTTGATTTTAGTTTTAACATAATTAAATGATTTTCGCATTTAAAACACATTCTTAGTATAAAGAATGTAACATGTTGGATCCATTTTTAAAATAATTAAATGATTATCGCATTTAAAACATAGTCTTCGTATAAAGAATGTAAACTGTTGGTTCTATTTCTAAAATAATTAAATAATTATGGCATTTCAAACACATTCTTAGTATATCGAATGTAACTCTTACTAAACATTGCTTTGTATTGATTAAAACTTTGGTTAATTTAAATAATTATAGTATTTAAAACATATTCCTAATTACAGAAATAATGCATTCAATACAGGTTTGTTTTGCTTTGAATACAACTAGGTTAGATTTAATTGGTAGCACTTTGTTTGTTGTCTTACCTTTCGTATAAAGATCCTGCTGTATTTATGGGACTGAGACGTATAAAATAATATTTTAGAACTATGTTCTATTTATTTCAATAAGTGTTCATTCCTCGCATCTAGTTATTCCATTATTTTCAGTGGTTTTCATTAAAATTGTACCTTTTGTTTTGATACTGTCAACTCTAATAATTATCGATTGTCGAATATTGGTTATGAATCTTCTTCTTTTTAGTAAATTGTCGTGTCTACTTGTGTAGTTCAATAGTCAATTCTGTTCCGTGATAGAAATGTGGCTGAATAGTCGGCTAGAAATAATGAGGGAATATTTGGTGTGCTGTTATTTGGTATCGATACTTTTGATTGTCTATGACGTCATGTTGTGTTGAGGTGAATTTCTTGGAATATTATGCTTCCCATTTAAGGAGGTCCTTTCGCCACCCCTTTCGCCACCAATGTTAAATAAAAAATATTAGATTATGACTAAAATTAATTTTTTTTCTACTAGTTGAAGTCCTTATTTATCTAATGTTGAACTTTTAACTATACCTTACCGTGCAAATTTTTGAGAATTTTTTTTTAAATGTATTTGTGCAGTGTCTTACGAGAAAATAAGACCTCGACAACAATTCTCGAATTATATTATTATTTATTGATTAGATGGAGTAGAAAAAAACTAAAAATAGGGTTTTTGAAATATTTAGGTTTTGTTTTTTACAATAAAATATATAGGTTACCTTGGAATTTATTGAGAAATAAATATTAAAAAAAAATTTGAAGTAACCTAGTTTCTACTTCATCTAATCAATAAATAATAGTAAAATTAATTATAATTCGAAAATTGTTGTTGAAGTCTTACTTTCTCGTAAGACACTGTACAAACACACACATTTTAAAAAAAAATTCTCAAAAATTTGCACGGTAAGGTGTAGTTAAAAGTTCACTATTAGATAAATAAAGACTTCTACTATTAGAAAAAAATTAATTTTAGTCATAATCTAATATTTTTTATTTAACATTGGTGGCGAAAGGACCTCCTTAATTATGGTTATTATAAAAGTATTATTATGAGGTATGCATTCATTTGGGATCATGTTGGGCTTAGTTTGGAATGTTTTAAGGGAAATTGTTATAATCACCGGAAGTGTGGTTAACAAAGTATGCATGGTCATATCCTCCTTGTCAACGCCATTTTGTCTTCCGGAAAATTGGTTTATATACGGGCCTAAAAATGTGGTACCGGCAATTCAAGTTTGATTTTTGGGAGTATCCCAGACATTTTATAAAGTACCGTGAGTGCGGTAGTTTTTCGTTGTCGTTAGGTCTTGTGGACCGAGGGTCCTGCAAAAAATTTTTAATACGACCTGGAGGAAGTTCGTTACCGAAACCAGTCGGGATTTTTAAATTGTTGCTGAGTTGTGTTGGGGTTGGTGCCCTAGATCCGATTAATTTGGGAGTAAGCTTGCGACCAAGGCGAGCAAAGCCCACTGCAACGAATACCGTAACCAAGTCTGCCCGTGTCAGGGGCATAGTGGAGTATCTCCACGTTTCATCCGCTGATCCAGACGTTCCCAGGTGATGCCGATGTCCATGTAGTTAGTCAGTTTAATTTGGTTTTTATTTTTGAGTCTCACGTTGATGTCCTACAAGTCTGCAAGTTGTGATATAATGGCCCCGATTCCTGTCTGAGGTATCCGCAGTTCGACACCGGTAGTGAGGAGCGCTACCGCTGGATGGATTTACGCCGAAATCAGGTATCTAAGGATCTATAAATCAAGGCACAAGAGACCTTTAGTCTGATAAACTTTTGGAACTAGTAATTTAATGAAACATACCATTTATTTTAAAGATGTAAAATAAACATGGCTACAACTGGGAAAATATAAAATGAAGTTATTCTCACTATATAGGGATACATTCAGTGATTATAACGTAATAGTCACTTAATCGAAGTGGCGATATAAGTTTCTGTCACTATAATGCTACTTGGGTATTCTTTTTAATTTTAATTCATTTTGTAACAACTGTACAATAAATAGGTACTAGCATACTTACTCTTTTGCAATAAAACCAGCCTGACCTAAAAATATTATAACAGAAACGCTAATCAAGGTGCTTACATTACACATGCCTGCCAATTTATCTAGTAAAATAACTGAGAATTATTAATTTGGTTAAGATAAGATCACCATATTTCCTTGAATTTTTATATCTTTCATAGGTATCGTTCCGGATATACTTTACAACAATAATACAAATAATCTTGCTACAAATTACTATATTGTTATTTTAATTTGATAACTTTCTTGTTATCTTTAAAATGTACTAAGTTACGTAATAGTAATAGTAAACTTTTCGTTATACTTTTCATTAGAAAACTTTTATTGAATAAAAATCACAAAAATAATACAATAAAGATTATTGCTAAGTTAGGCTTTGCTGTACATCTGATTTTTCAAAGGCTTTAATCTTAGAAAATAGAATTAATTATATTTTTTTCTTCTGTTTTTTAAGCTTCTTTTAAATTAATAATTGTAAATTATTATGAAATACAGAAATAGGAAAACATTTTTTGGGCCTGATTCATTTAAAATATTAAATTTAAAACTACATGGTTTATAAATAATTCACCGCGTAACGCCTGGATACCCGATCATTAGTTCTTTATGTTTATAAAACCAATATTTTGTTTGAATGAAATATCACATAATAAACAGTAAATAACCATAGTATACGGTATATAGGCAGAGACTCTACCACTGAGCCCCCACCTCCTAATTATACTTTTTTTAAAACATTATTGTGTCTAGTAAAATTTAGATGAATAATTTTCAAATAAACAACAAAATGTTCTTAAAAAATTCCCACCTCTTGTGTATTACCCTTGAAAATTTTGGAAAGTCTACAAAAATATCTACACATTGTCAGACTTATTCGAAGGGCTGTGCATGTGTGGTAGACTTATTTTATATACATATCTACATTTATTTTTACAAACGATACAAAATTTTCCATATTAAAATCACAGCTTACCCACTATTCAGCTCTATAACTTCGAGCGACGACTTTGATCTATCGGTCGACAACCAAGCAAGATAGAATGGCGCGGTCTTTATTTCACTTGGGGTAAAAGTCGGGGCGGCATGATGCAGTTTTTTGTTTGTTTTTGAAGAAAAATATTTAGTTCCGGCCTGACGTAGTAGGCGATTTTTGAGCTTTATTATAGAGCAAACTGGACCTCTCGCGAAAAGCAAAAAGTTGGAGGATTTTCTAATACAAAATTCAATTTATATGCGCAAGGATCATTCACTGCCTATCAATCCTAAGAAGACAGAAATAGTCCGTTTCACAAGAAAAAGAATGAAAATGGAATTGAAACCTCCAGAACTCCTAAACACAAAACTAAACTTTGCAACAGAGGTAAAGTACCTAGGTCTCACCTTTAACAACAAGTTACCATGGAGCTCGCATTTAGAAAATAGAGTTAAAAGAGCATATATTGCTTATGAACAATGCCGCCGAACCGTGGGGAGCATCTGGGGTTTTCCCCCAGAGTCGTCGCATGGACTACACGGCTATCATAAGACCTATGCTAACATACGGTGCAGTTGTCTGGGTACCGAAAACCCAAAAATTAACAGCTATCCGTAAACTAGAACAAATTCAAAGAAAGCATGTCTCAACATAACAGGAGCCATGAAAGAAACATCGACCAGGGCCATGGAAGTCATTCTGAGTCTCACTTCCCTTGATATTTACATCAAGGAGGTTGCTCTGACGACAACGACACGCCTCCGCGCGGTTGAAATAGAACCTTATGTAGGATCTGGTCAGGCGAGACGTCGCTTTTAGCACGACGCGCTCGATACGCTCCCACTGCTTCAAGCTAACATGGACTCTATCTCACCGAGATATATCTTCCATAAGCCATATAAAGTTATAATAGAACAAATAGAAGAGCCGGAAGTGGCAGGTACGATTCATATCTACACCGACGGTTCTAAAACAAAACAAGGCTCAGGATGTGAAATATACTTCAGATTCTTAAACCTAAACATAAAATGGGCTGTGAACAATAGTGCCAGTGTAGTTCAAACAGAGGTAACGGGTATTCTCATAGCAACAAAAAAATAACCAGAAACAATATCACTGGAAGGAACGTGCTCATTCATACAGATAGCAGACAAGTACTACTCACCCTGAACAGACCACGAATTTATTCAGGGTTAGTACTAGAATGTCACGAAGCTTTGACCGAAGTATCCATCAACAATGTGGTCACCTTAATATGGAACAAAGGTCACGCCGCATCGAAAGGTAACCGTCTTGCCAATTCACTAGCCAAGAAAGCAGCCAACCAAATACTTTTTGGACCTGGCCCTTCTATTGGCCTGACAAAATTGGTAGTGACCTAATCAAAGAACATTCCCTTGTGAAATTCAAGGAAAGATGGGATGAAACAAGAAACTGCAGAGTTGCCAGGGAGCTCTTAAGTTATCCTGACAACACTGCAGCAAACAAATACTTGACTATGACTAGACAGAATCTGCGCCTAGTCACAGGCATTTTAACTGGTCATTGCCAAATACGAAAGCATCTCCATATCATGGGGCTGTCAGAATCCGCACTCTGCAGAGGGTGCGTATAAGAAGATGAGACCATCGAGCATATACTTTACGATTGTCCGGCGCTCTCATTTATTAGATTTAGAAAAATGAAATCTGCCAATCGCTCTCAAATTATGCGAACTACCACCCCTACAAATTTGGACGCCAAGTTCGAAAACACCCTATATATTTAAGTAATATTTTTATAATGCCGAATTTAAACTAGGATTTTCTTGTAGTCTCAAGAAATGAAATATTTATTTCCTTAATATATACCGAGCCTCTAGTGACAGATGTGTCGCCTGGGGTTTGAACTTAACTAAAGTTACCTGATATCAGATGGTAAAAAGTCGTAGACTCACTAAATACTTGGATTGACGGTTTGTGTACCCTTGGATAGTACAATGTGCAAACCAAACAATAGGAGGTCCTTTAAACTGTGATATCTGGGTAGATGTGTCTCACACAATCAGTCTAACTATCCAGAAGAAGGTGAAAGTCTTGGTAGGATATAAGATGCCATTTACAAAATATATGTACTGGTATATACAGTATAATACTGAGTATATACGGAGTAGAAACTTAATCTTCAAATTCCAGTTTGTCGTAATCAGAGGCATCAGTCTGAACTGAAAAAGGCAATTCAAAGTTGGGGCGAGAAAGAATGGGAGACGAAACCAAGTGTCCCTTGATGATTTTCATGGCTGATTGACACTGCTCATCCCACACAAAGCGCTGGTTTTTGTACAGAAGTGCTGTAAGAGGGGCGGTTGTAGAAGAAAAATTGGGTATGAACTTTCTATACCAGGAGGCTATCCCTATTAACATTCTTACCTCTGTTACTGATATTGATACGGGAATTTTTACGATAGCTTCAACCTTTTCTGGATCGACTAACAAACCAGAGTTAATAACATAGCCAAAGTATTTCAGTTCAGGCTTACAGAAATTATACTTATATCTGTTCAAAAGGATGTTCTTTAGTGCCTCCAAATGTTGAGAAAGCGTAGGGGTAAATACAAAATTCTCAAATTCATAACCTAATACCCTCTCCACGAAACGTTGACATGTAGCGGGAGCATTGTAAAGACCAAATGGCATCCTCTCGAAATGAATTAATCCTCTAGTCGGGACTACGAAGCTGTAAGAGGACAAAAGGTTTTAGCCACTGGTATTTGCCAATAGGCAGATTTTAGCTTGGTTAAATATTTTGCATTCCTTAACTTATCCAGGGTTGCGCTCACAAAGGGAACAGGATAAGCATCACGCTCGCTTACTTCATTGTGCCTCTTATAGTTTACGCAGAACCAATAGGTGCCATCTGGTTTCTTCACCAACACAATAGGAGAAGTCCTAGGGAATCAGAAGGTTCTATGATATCGTTTTCCAACATCTTAGTCTTACTCTTGGTTGACGTATTTCTGTAACGCGAAAGACAAAGGATAGTGCATCAGCTGTTTCGTACAATGCGAAATGGGTGTCTTTACTTTACTTTGTTGCTGCCTAGTATGGATTTAGGTTTATTTTTTCTATAGCTTTCCTTCTTCCTTTCAAATTTACTCCTCTTTCTTCCACTAGGTGCCATGTATAGGCCATGGTCTACTCACGTCTATTTACTTCAAGTTCCCTGTCCTAGTATGGATCTAGAGTCATTGCCTTCTACTCTACTCTTTAAATTCCGATGTTCAATAGCTGCCCAAAACCAGATGTACTTAGGTTTCTTAGGGCCTCTGTATGGTTCGTATCCTTAGACGCCTAGTATATCCCTCCCCCTCTTTTTATTATTATATACTTTTTAGTTTTATTTTTGATGATGTCTCGTCTAACCCGTGTTGACCCCAGAACCACTCGAACGCTCTTTCTGTCATATCATCCTGTGTCTGTACTAGGAAACACGATATATAATTTTTCCATTTTATTATAATTCGTCATTAATGTTATATCTTCTATAAGATTAATTGGAGTTCGATGCCTTTACCGTCCCTAAGTGTTTTTTAAATTCATAGTCTGATTGATTCAATGTGAAAGGTATCTTAGACGTAAGTTATGTCATGTGTTCATTTTTAAAAATTTTAATTTTATGCGGGCAAATATGCGGGCAATAAGTATGCTTCTAGACTTCTATAACAATAAAACAATCCCTTTGTAAGCATTTTTTGTTGTCTGGCTTTACTACTTTCGGTTTAAGAGTAGGTATTCTCTGTTCCCGCCAAGAGAATTTGTGATGCTAAATAGTGGGTAAGCTGTGTTATCATACTCTCTAAAATATTTTATTATTTTAGGTAAATGCAAGGACGTCAACGATTGTAACACTATTCGTAATATATTTGTCACAATAAAAGATTTCGAAGTTTGTAAGCAATCAAACGACAAGGAAGACATCGAAATGAAAATTTGCTGCTTTAAACCAGAACATCGAGGTTTCGATGTACAACCACCAAAAGGTTACTCTCCACAGTTAATACCTATTGAAGAATCCACACTCCAAGAATTTATTGAGCCAGCATCAGTAGAAATTGTTTCAAATGATTTGAATCAGCACGACACTAGCACGGATCATCCAAATATTCAGTCAACGAGTACAGCTTCTCACGAGATGAGACTACAAGATACGCAGACGGTTTATCAAAACTTTATAAACGATTTGAATCAGAAGGTGGGAGAATCGGATAACTTGAACTTTGCAATTATTGATGAAGCTAAAAAATCTACTCCAGTTAATTCGATATCTGCAAAAACCCCAAAAGGCGATGTCAATTTTGAAAATGGTTCAAATAATTTAAATAAGTTAGTGCCCCAAAAACCAGTAACAAGGCAATCGAAAGGTTCTTTTTCAAATTTTTCTGATAAAATAAATCAGAAAAGATCTGAGAATAAAAAACCGGTGAGAGACTCACCAACAATGGTGTTTCCTGAAGACTCTCTAGAAGAGAAAATGAAACCCAAACCAGAAATATTAAAATCGTCAGTAGTAAAGAAAAAAAGTCGACCAAATAAACATACCACAACTAGAATTTTGCATTCCGTCATTCAACCTTTCTTTACTAATCTTAAAATTTCAAAACGAGTAAAACGCGAACTAAAAAATGAGCTTGTAATGTCGGTTAGATTAGTTAAGAAACCCCAATCTGCGAAGTTACGACCTCTTACTCATACCCCAGAAAATTCAGAAAACTCTCAAGAAGCAGTAAGTAGAAACAGAGGCAAAGAAGATTCAATAGTTCGTCGTAAAATGATCGATAAATCTAGGAATCTAGAAGCGCATAAAATAGTTCCACAGCATGCCAAATTGAGACCTTCTACTCTTACAGAAGAACACTTAGAAGCTGAAACAGATAGATTAAGTTCAAATGGAAGCTACGGACATCCATTAACTAGAGTAAGAATATCAGATAAATTCAGGAAGTTAAAACCACGTAAAATAGTTCCCCAATATGCAAAATTGAGACCTTTGACTCTTGTAAAAGAAAACGCAAAACTTGTTAAAGATACAGAAAATCTAAATGGAAGTAATCGATATTCAATAGCAGATAAATTTAAGGATTTATGGATCCATAAAATAGTTCCACAACTTGCCAAATTAAAGCCTTTAACTCTAACACCAGAAAACTCAGAGGTTAGAGAAGTTGTTAAAGGTATAGTACGTCCAAATGGGAGCATTGAACATTTAATAGCTGGTAGAGCCAGCACAGATACAGCTACGAATTTAGGAGGACATAAAATAGTTTCACAACATGCCAAATTAAGGTATTTGACTCTTACATCAGATAACTCAGAAATTATTAAACATGCAATAAGTGCAAATGGAAGTAACGAATATTCAACAGTTCATGAAGAAAAGCCAGATACAGCTATCAACTTGGAATCCTATAAAAATGATCAACAACAAGGCAAATTAAGACCTTTGACTCTTACAGCTGAGAACTCTGAAATTGTTAAAGATACAGTAAGTTCCAATGGAAGCAATACAAATTCAATCGTTAGTCGAGAAAGCTCAAATGAAGCCATACATGTAGATCCACAAAGTAGTGTTCCTCAACAAGGAAAATTAAGACCTTTGACTCTTACAGCAAATACATCTGAAAATAATAAAGATACAGTAAGTTCAAATGAGAATAACGAATATTCAATAGTTCACCGAGAAAATCTAGATGGAGCCATAAATTTAGAATTACGTAAAAGTGATCACTTACAAGATAAATTGAGACCTTTGACTCTTACAGCAGAAAACTCAGGTATTGTTAAAGGTATAGTAAGTCCAAATGAAAGGATAGAAAATACAACAGATCTTAATAAAAGCTTAGATGCAGCAATATATTTAGATTTAAATGATAGTGTTTCCAAACAAGCAAAATTAAGAACTTTGAGCCTTACACCTAAAAACTCTGAAATTGTAGGTTCAAATAGAAATCATAAACAGTTTATAGATATTGATAAAAAGGTAGGTAAAGCCATGAGTTTACTACCACATAAAAGTGTTCCCCAGTCAGCAAAATTAAGACCTTTGAGTCCTGAAAACTCTGATATTGTTAAAGATGCAGTAGGTTCAAATAGAAATAATGAACATTCTATAGATATTGTAGAAAAATCAGGTGCAGCCATGAATTTAGTACCACATAAAAGTGATCTCCAACAAGCAAAATTGAGACCTTTGAGCCTTACATCTAAAAATTCAGATATTATTAAAGATTCAATAATTCAAAATGGAAGTAACAAACATGCAACAGTTCTTAGAGAAATATCCGATGCAGTTATGAATTTAGAACTACATAAAATTGATCCTCAGCAAGCCAAATTGAGATCTTTGACTCTTACACCTAAAAATGCTGATAGAATTAAAGACTCACTAAGTCCAAATGGAAGTAATGAAGATGTAACAGTTCTTAGAGAAAAACATGATGCAGTCATGAATTTAGAACTACAGAAAATTGATCCCCAGCAAGTCAAATTGAGACCTTTGATTCTTACACCTAAAAATTCTGATATTATTAAAGATACAATAAGTTCAAATGGAAGTAATGAAGATGCAACAGTTCTTAGAGAAAAACATGATGCAGTCATAAATTTAGAACTACAGAAAATTGATCCCCAGCAAGTCAAATTGAGACCTTTGACTCTTACACCTAAAAATTCTAATATTATTAAAGATACAGTAAGTCCAAACGGAAGTAATGAACATTTAATAGTTTTTCGAGAAAAGTCAGATACAGCCAAGAATGTCCAAGCACACAAAATAGATCCAGAGTATGCCAAATTAAGGCCTCTGACTCTTTCACCAGAAAATTCTGAAATTACTGATAGTAAAATGACAAAAATGTCAAGGCATCGAAGAGCAATTCGAAATGATAAAGGAAAATATTCAAGAAACCTTGACTTTGATTATTACGATAAAAATAATTTTCACAAAAGGTATTTTTACCCAAAACACGAGAACAAAGAAATTGTACGGCCGCCACATTCTTATTGGTCTGAAGAACCATCTAGAGACTTCTACAAACCACCTTCCCATCGAAGACCATATTTTCCATCGAGAAATTTTTACGATGGTGATGATGTAGAAATGATTAATGAGTCGGATTTTCCTCCAACCAACAGACCCAGGTTTAGTGGATCGCCTAGAGACGATATATTTGGTTGTGGAAGGACAGGCAGAAGGGATAGAAATAGGTGAGTTGATTATAAATATGTTTAATTAAAAACATTGCAAAATAAATGTCTGCTAGGCAGGACCAAATCCATACAACTTTTGTTTAAACCTTATTGATATCTTTAACATTATATTAAACAGCAAATGTGACACATAAAATGATATTCTCATTAGAATAGAGAATTAATAGACACTAATTTCGTTCTAGAATAATTGGAGGTATTCCCGTAGCTTTGGGTGAATACCCGTGGATGGCTTTGCTTCAATATTCAACTAATAAAGGAATCAAAAATGGGTGTGGAGGGTCTTTAATTAATTCGAGGTATATCTTAACAGCTGCTCATTGTGTTGATGATGAATTTTTAAAATTAAAAAAAATAAAATTGTGAGTATACCTACTATAGTAAAAAAAATATGTTATAATGGATATTTTCCATAATTTTTTATATTATTGGTTTCTTGATTATTTCTACGTTTGCTTAATAAAAAAAGATTTTATCGCCAACCGTCAATAAATTCATACATTACCATAGCGATTTTCGTACTTTATCTCACTGTAAAAATCAAATATTTTATCTGCCACTAATATTTATCAACATAGCCATGATCATCTGACAGAAATAGTCTGCAACTAATTTGTTTTGTATTCGCTGTTATTTTTGTTTGTTTACTTTACTTTACTTTACTAAAATGTGATGTTATAATATTTTCTATTTTATTATTTATAATTATTTATTGTTGGCGATAAAAGTTTGTATGCATCAAAAAAGTGTCTTTATCGATAAAGAATCACTTTGCTGACTTTGGTACATTAATAACTAGTATTAGAAGCAATTCTTGTATTATTTATAATTGTAATTATTTTTTTTTTTTTTTAGGTTCCGAGTAATTTTAGGAGAATTCGACATAAGTAGAGATCCAGATTGTATATCATCACCTGAGTCAACAGTATGTGCTGAACCATCGAGAGTTTATGGAATTTCTAATACAATAAAACATCAAAATTTTGACCGATTTAATGCCATAAATGATATAGCGTTGATACAATTAGACAGAGATGTAATATTTTCTGGTATGTTATTTGTTCTGATACATCCAGAATTCAACACAGTTTAAAAAATATAAAAGAAAAGTTTTAAATTAAAGTTTTTAAGATTTTGTAAAGCGAAGCTAAAGTTAAGACGTGTTTTTTTTTCAGATTATATCAAACCAATTTGTCTGCCGCCTAGTAATTTTAATCATAATAATGAATCTGTAATTATAGCTGGCTGGGGAAGAACTAAAGTTGGAGGTAAGCATGGTCAAATATATTTTTTAATTTTTCAATTTAAATTCTTTTTTGAAGAATTTTTTTCGAAATTTATTTTGTATGTATTATATATATTTTATGAAATTTTTCACATTGTTATCAAAATCTTTTTTTATTGGTACCTTCCGCTATGACAATTTATGCCATTAACTTCATGTTCTCTGTAGTTTATAAAGTAACTAATAATCTAATTTCAAAAATAGAAAGCTTGATATCTAAATAACAGGACAAAATCTTTTTAATATTTTTATTTATTTATGAAAAAAGCAAAGAGAACTTAATTTAAATAACATACATTTTGATTGGAAAAAAACTAAAAAAACGACTGATCATTTGGATAAACCTCTTCCAAACCCGGGGATAGCTGTAGTTACCGGTTTTGGCAAAAAAAAATTAAAGAAATCCGACTATTCACGGCGTCCTCTAAAGTAAAGTCATGGAGAAAACTATTGCAAATTTGAATCACCCATTTATTCACCAAACAGAATGGGAAGAGCCCTTTAGATATATGTAAATATCTTATTCACGGATGGTACAGAACTATACAAGGCATTTTCTTAGGTTAACCTCGAAATTACCTGTTAGGGTCATTGCTCACGAACGTTTTTTTTGCAGTCGCGTTAACGTCACGTTGACGAAAACGCAAAACGCAATTTTTAATTCACACGCAGGGCTTCTTGTCTTCTATCCCAAAACAAGGCAGATTAAAATTCGTCTTATGAACAGAAAAGATGGTTATAAGTTCGAAAAAAAAGTGATATTTGTCCTATATCTTTTTTACAGTTTGTGAAGAAAAAGAAGAGTTACTGGGTATATCCTTACTAAAGTCCCCGTTTACTAAAGGTTAGAAGGTGGTTTCATATTAAGGTTTTTGACTCAAGAAATAATGATGAATGAAATTTTTTTAATTTTGTTTGTATGATTATATGCTCATTGACGAACTAAATATAATGCTTAAATAATTCAAGATTATTTCAGGATCCTCCTTTATTTCTTTTATGAATAATTCTCTGTCGAATTCCTCATAGCCCATAGCTACTTCGTTTTTTACCACCTTTTGTGTGTACTATGTAAAGGGTTTTCTCGCCACAGAGAAAATGGTTCCTTACGAGTGGCGCTGGTTACGGGCGGTTTTCGAGCGCCAGATGGAGATGAAAAATTCCAGGGTTCAAAGGTCACTTAGACACAGGTAATGGTAGGCCACAAGTAACGAGCTTTAATCGTTGCTTGGGCTGGTACAGAATTTCTCACTAGCTGAAATACAAGGGGGAAATAATGTATGGAATTAGTAACCAGTAATACGGCAACTTAATATTGACACATATATTGTGAATAACTATTTACACATTAAAAATAAAAAAAAATTATATATTTCAACGCCCACCCTCGTTGCGATGATAGTCAATATAACCCTGAACAAACAAAACAAACAAAAAACGGACGGTATTAAATCCCGACTAGTCTCAATCAGACATCAAAGTAGAATTAAAATAAAATGAGTGTTTCGGTCGCAGAAAAAAAATTAACTTGACTACTTAGTCGGTAATTAAACTAAAAAATAATTTTCCATTTCGGTAAGGAAAAATTCTAAGAGCGGTTAAATATTTAACTGTCGTATTGGGAATTAAACTAAAATGTACTTTACTATTTCGGTAAGGAAAAATTATCTATACGGTCGCAGAGAGTGCGTGGAGACAGGGTCGTGAATGAACTACTTAGTAAATATTCGGAAAGGGAGAAAAAAATTAAATTTATACCCGAGGTAGCTTATTGTCCCAGAATGAGCTAATCGTCATCACGAGCCCGCTCAGATAGGGTAATGAAGCTATTTAAGATTTCTGTAATTTGCAATTTGCACGAAAAAAAAAAAAAATAAAGAATACAAAGGGAAAAAGAAAACTAACGCGAATAGTACTCAATCCAAGCATAAGCTGATCGTCATCACGAGCCCGCTCAGATAGGGACAGGATACTATTTAAGTTAATTTAAATTGACGGTGAAAGAGAAAACAAAACTATTATCAGAGGGAAGAAAACTACTAACGCGGATAGTACCTAATCCACGAATGAGCTGATCGCCATCACGAGCCCGCTTAGACAGGGACAGGATACTATTTAAGATTATTTAAATTTGCGGTTTGCACATTAACAAAAAAAAAAAAATAACGCAAATAGCACCTAATCCTAGAATGAACTAATCGTCATCACAAGCCCGCTAAATTTGCAGTAAAAGAATAAACAAACTATTAAAAGAGGGAAAACGTCTCCTCGAAAACTTCGTTTCTAAATATTCCCAACTTATTTATAACGCGGCACTTACTAAACAAAAATATTTATCAATGAAATCAAATTTAATTCCCGATTTAACCTACCAAAAAGAAAAGTTTAATTTCTTAGGTCAGACTAACTATCAAATGTCTAAATCAACGGTATTACAACTTTTAAAGTACTAAATCCTATCATTTATTATTTAAATCAAATTCAATTCCCTTTAAAGAAACGATATTCTATTTTTAAAGAGCTAACTTCTAATATTTATTAATTAAATCAAATTAAATCTTTTTCAAACAATGTCTTTAAAAACGGTATTATATTTGCCAAGAAATTAATTCTAATATTTAATAATGAAATCAAATTATATCTTTTAACTCAACAATGAATTAAAATGTTCCTATTTCTAAAAGATAATTCGGTTTTTAAATTAAATGCGGTCTCAGTATAAAAAAAAACGAAACAAGGTTTTTTACCTAAATTATTTATAAACAGGTTACGAAAAATTTATCGACGGCGGACCTAATTGAAAATGCGGCTTTAACTTTTAACTGGCTGAAATCAAGTGCCTCTCCAAATCCTTTTAATTCGCGACGAAAGCGAGAGTAATTCCCACTCTTCGAACAGTATCACCGCGCATTGATATTTCGATTGGCGATGCGCATCTGTTCCGACGTCTGAGACAAGCAGCTCGAGGGCGATTATTATTTATTAAAAATGATAAATTAAAATAAAGTGATTAAGTAAAATTGACTTTGTTACAACTACTTGATACAAAGTAATATATCTTTGCAACGCCAACGTACCGCTGAGACGTGGGCGTCGAGAAGGTATCAGTGGTGGTATTTTTGTAGTCGCTTTAACCACATTCTATGACGTTGACGTATCGTCGACGTTGCATCGTGTAAACCCTCTGACTTGATTGACTGCATTTCGACACCGCCCTAGGAATGCCGTTGCGTCGATGCGACTGCAACATACGTTAGTAAACACTGTCCCTTAAAATGTGGATGTTATTTTAACAACTTGTAAATCCGAACAATTTATTACGATATCTGCATTAAATATTTAAAATACTCGATATGCATTTCTTACTAATGTTACATAAGGAAATATTTTATTAAACACGAATTCTTGGTTTTTGTTAATTTTTCGAAGTTCCAGACCTTGTTGCAAATTTACCAGATTCTTAGGAAAAATAATATTAACTTTTGCAACCATTTTTTGACAAAACAAGAGAAAAATAAAAACTTATTTTAATATTTTTACAAAACAAAAATATTTCCGTGCAAAATAAAAGGTTGCAAATAGGAATAGCTATTCCAAAAACTTGTATGAGTTATGTCATCGGGTTGCAATTTTTTTGTCTATGATATAAGCAAAAACGCTATTTTACAAAAAAAAAATCATGTTCCAGGTTTTTAAAAAAGTTGCAAATAATACAATATTATATTGCTTCAAGCTTGCAGCACTTTTGAATTTTTTTTTTTTTTAGAAAGTTATAATAAATTTTATTTTTTGCAATTATTAATATGTTCCGGACCTTAAAAAAAGTTGCAAAATTAAATTTACAATTATTTAAATTTAATAACTATTCCAACAAAGTTTGAAAACTTTTGTATTTAATGTGAATTGATTATCTCTAATGACTGGCCTAAGAAGCCAATCTCTAAGCCAGACTAGATTATCAAAATGCTAAGTTGTAGAAGATCCAACTAAATTAATTTTTATATTTTAATTCTAGGAACATATAGCGAAGTTCTGAACAAAGCAATACTTCCAATAGTGGACCAAGAATTTTGCAATCGACTAGGTCTCACGTTAACTAGTGGACAAATTTGTCTAGGCCTTGGTGACGGATTAGATACATGTAATGGGGATTCTGGTGGTGCGATAATGGTACAAAAGATGGAAAATGTTGAGCTGGTTACGTACCAATATGGAATTATTTCTTATGGGTTTGCTTCGAAGGAGTGTGGAAAAGCACCATCAGTGAATACTTTTGTTCCGAATTATCTTAAATGGATATATAGCATACTTTCCAGTACAGACTAGTGAGGATTGTAGTAGTTGTTTTTTTTTTGTAAAATAAAAATAAATTATTAAACGTTAATTTTTTTATTGGAAATTATGAATCTGGTGTGTGAAAAAAAAATTGTACCGCTACCTACATAATAGGTTTTAAACAATTTAAAAGAAATTTGGGGATAATGATGTGGCTTATTCGAATACCTCATATACAGGGTGTCCCAATAGTGTGTGGAAGTTCGATATATCCTATATTATAGAAAATATCAAACAATGTTATTTACAAAAGTTGTAGATAATATTAATCTGCACATTTCAAAATTATTTTCGATTATACAGAGTGATCCATAACTTCAGAATTAATCAAACCTATGTTTTTTTAAATGGATCACCCTGTATTTAATTGTATATTTGAATTCCCTGACTTTGTCCTTCAAGAAAATACCAACATGTATGAGGTTATACTAGGTATTTTGGAAGTTTAAACCAATTTTATATGAAAATCGTACTAGGTTCAACCCTCTGTATATTTCAAAAGAAACCATCGAACATCAAAATTTTTTTATGAATCATTTTTAATGATAGTCTTCTTTTTATAAGAATATACTAATTTTTTCCTAGCGCAACAGACGTGTACAGGGTGAGTCAAAACTCGGATACATGATTTTCTCAATTTTTTTAAATGTAACACCCTGTATATCATATCACTACTAAAAAGTATTCTAATTATACGTTCGTTTGAGTTAAATACTGCCTATCCCTAAACACGACAGTTTAGCGAGATTCATACATGAAATGTTAGAAAAGGGTTAATTATAACTAAATTCACAATGTAATTTGATTTAAACTCCTGTTAAAATATACTGTTTAATCAGTTTATATTTTTAAGGTATTACAATTTTTTATCAACTGAATTTACTTTCTTCACTTTTAAGGTTAGGTTCACCCTGTATTTCATATTTCTACTAAAAGAACTTTAATTATACGTTCGTTTGTCCCTATCCCTAAACATAACAGTTTAGAAGATATTTTATAATTGAATGAAAAAAATATGAGCCAAAAATAAGTTATTTTAATTTTTTTAGAATGCAACATTAGTATATTAAAAAATGACAAAAAACTATTATAAAAGCTGCTCAAAGTGACTCCCTCCAACTCCAATACAATGTTGTAATCTAACTTCAAATGATCTTTGAAAGTTTTTCAAACATTGTACATCTATGCTCGCAAGTACTTGTCTTATTCTTTTCTTAATTTCCTCGCTAGTTAATGGACTAGTTATATAAACCTCGTTTTTTACGAAACCCCACAAAAATATCTACTTTAGTGAGGTCAGGGGACCTGGGAGGCCACATAACTGGACCATCTCTTCCAATCCACCTGTTTTCAAAATTATGGTTCAGAAAGTTGCGAACTGGTTGAGCATGATGTACAGGAGCTACATCATGTAATATCCACATTCGGCGTCTTATATTTAGTGGAACATTTTCCAATAGTAGTGGTAGATGATTCTGCAGAAAGTCTAAGTAGATCTAGGCAGTTACACGACCATGAAAGAAATGTGGTCCTATGACATAGTCCCCTAATATACCACCCCAAACGTTAATAGACCATCGTGTTTGGCTATGTGTCATTAACTCATAAGGATTGGTGGTGGAATACTAATGAAAATTGTGTCTATTGACGAAACCATTTTTGTGAAATGTTATTTCATCCCCAAAAATTACGCAATCAAAAAAATCATTTTCATTATTAAAGCTATTCTTTTTTGAAAATCGTTTTCAAGAAGCTCCTGATAAAGTTGGATGTGGTATGGATGTACTTTATTTTTTAATAATATCCTATTGACAGATGATTTACTTATTATTTTTTTTTCTCCTTAGAATATTGGGCCTTCAAATCTACAGCACTGGCAAAAATTTCTAAGAAAAATCTCGACAGGAAACTTTTTACAAAAAAAAAACTTTTTCTGAATGTTAGGTAGTTTAACACCCTATAACTTTGTTGCTGTATACCTAACTCCTGAAATTTTATAAAAAGTAAATCTAAAACTAGGTACATGGTACGTCAAGGTACATTGAAAAAAAAAAGATCAGATTCAAGCAGTTCATTCTCATCAACAGGCTTGTTGTGTCTGGAAATCTAACCATTAGTTCAAGTGCAAAACTAGAAGAAAAGTTGAGAGAAATCACAGACGATGCCCTCGAGCATACATCAGAATGTCTTGCTAAAAAAAAACATGAGTTTTTTATAAAATCTTTATACTAAATCCATAATCAAGCATAAAATTTGTAAAATTACAAAAAAAATGCAATACACTAACATTGGTTGTTTTATTTAAAACAACAAAGTAAGACAAAATTATCTAAAAATAAGTGCAACGATTTAAACTTGAGCATATTTTTTAATTTCTCTATAATTTCGTTTAATAATAGTTAAACTACTTGTAGTGAATCTCTTTTTTATTCAATATGTTGTGAAGAAGTAAAATCTTTTTATATAAAAATATAATTTATCCTCTTCTATTATAATAAATTGTCATATATTTATGTCACATTATACTTAGCGTAAAATATTTACATGACACATGTAATTACAATAAAATAATTTTAGTTCACTTTTGCATAAATAATAAATTAACAAAATAAATTTTCCCTCACTTTTCTAAAAACCATTTGTATCGTGACATGATCAATTGCCGACTATCTTATTTTCCGTACTAATTTAACAAACTTTGCGTTCGGTATTTATAGCATATTTCTAAAACTTATCTTCAACCTTCGATAGCTCAGTTGGTAGAGCGGTGGACTGTAGTGGAAAACGACTTTGTAGACATCCATAGGTCGCTGGTTCAAATCCGGCTCGAAGGAGAACTTTTTTTTGTTTTTTTTTAATGTTACAATTTTATTTCAGATTTATTAATTTAAGATTATTCAATAATAAAGTATACAAAGTTGTTTACTTACGGTTCATTTACACTGACACGAATAAAAAAGCCATTTTATTTAAAATATTAAAATTCGCCTGAATATCCGCAACCAAACATACATTATTACCACAAATATTGTTTATTTGAATTAATAAATTATTGGAAACACTTTTGCTTTTGATATAAAAAACGGATGCTTGATTACTATTTCATCCAATATTAAGGTTACCTTTTATTATTTATCTTCGATATTATTATACACACAGTAGCCTGTGAAGAGTATTATATGTTTTTGGTATGTCACGTTTTTTGTCTGCAAAGTCAAAAACAAAAAAACGATATCAATTTGAAAATTTCAGAAAAAATAGACTCTTTAAGGGGACGAAGCCTATTGATCTGAAAAAAATTGGGGGTTAAAGTAAGATTTAAAAAAATCCTAACTCAAAAACAAAAAGTGATATCAACTTGTAATTTTTAGCAAAAATCAAGTTCTATAAGAAGATAAAGCCTATTGATTCTGAAAAATCTGAATTAAAATGGAGGGTTGAGGGGGTTGAAATATTAAAAAACGATCTTAACTAAGAAAGGAAAAAGATATCAACTTGAATTTAACTTAAAAATCAATTTGAGCACGACGTCGTAGGCGGAGTGCTCAATCATCTGAGTGCGATGTGGACAATCCACTCTAGTTGTACAGTATATTTTTTCTACGACCCAGTGACGAAAATTCACAAATAAAAAAATATTTTAGGTTATTAAGACAAAATAACTAATTTTAAAATAATTTGTCTTTTAATAATTTTTAAAATAAAATAAACGTAAAAAAAAAGAAAATAAATTATTTTATCTTTCCCTATCCGAGAATCGAACTCCAATCTTCCTTGTAGAAGGCAAGAACGCTATCCACAGGTCCACATTTTCTTTAATTTTTGTTACTTTAATACTTGTAGTTAAATTGACTTCATATAGTTTTATTTAAATTAACAAATTATTTTTTATTATAGACGACCTATTATTTATCGATTTTACACAAGAATAACCCATTTTAATGTATGTTTAATCTCAATAACTAAAAAATATATTTACAATTAGTTTGACAGAATTGTCACTTATTTAAAATTTTGAAAATAAAAGCAGTCGGTTGATCAAAATATGAACGGTGATTGGTGGATTTATTTTTTTTTGCAGTGTTTTTTCACTACCTAGAATAGATATGAAATATATTCGTTGAGTTGAAGGCAATAGCATACTTTTTCATTTTGTAATCTGTGCGTAGATTAGCTAATATCCATGTGTGTATAGAAGAAAGCTATTTGATTTTGAAATAAAGCTGAATAAAAATGGGGAGTTTAAGAGGGGTTAAAATTAAAAAAAAATCATAAATCAAAAATGAAAAGTGGTATCAACATAAAATTTTTAGTAAAAATCAAGCTATACAAGGGAATAAAGCCTATTAATTTTAAAAATAATCTGACTAAGAAAGGGGGTTAAAGGAGAAATATTTAAAAACCAAAAATTATATCAACTTGACATTTTTAGCAAAAATTAAGCTCTATAAGGGGACAAAGTCTATTGATTCAAAAAAAATTGTTAACAAAATGGGGAGTTAAGAGGGTGTTGAAATTGAAAAAAATCCTTAATCAGAAACAAAGAACTATATAAATTAAAATCTTCAGGAAAATGAAGCTTTATAAGGGGATAAAGCCTATCGATTCTAAAAAAATGTGATAAAAATTGGGTACTAAGTGGGTCTGTTAAACTCTGAAGAGTAACAGTAATATAGACACTAGAAATTAGGAACCGAATTGTGACTAATATGAGAAAGGGAATTTAAATTGGAAAGTTACACAAATGTTAAAGAAACTATTATAACATTGGAGGAAAAAGAAAATATCGATATGGTTAGGATGCGGATGGTTTAAAAACTACGTGGTCTTTGTAATTAAAGTTACAGTAAAATTGATAAAAATAAAAAAAACATTTTTCAAAAAAATTTTAATAAATAAGTTTCCGCGCAAACCGTACACTTGGACAAAGACGATAAAGGGAAAACCAAAACAGTTCTTATTACAATTCTTACACTCTTCCAATATGCTTTTTGTATTTGTCTTTATTCGATCTCCACGGGTATAATTCCTTTTGCACAGCCAACGCCTCGCCTGCTCCTTTCTCTGTTATACCTTCCAGCATGTCTGATATTTCTGGTCCGCCTTTATTAGTCGTTGGTTTGTTAACTATCTCGCTGGCCTGTCGAATCTTATCAAACAAAGCATACTTCCTTTCATCCTGAGGTCTCAGAATGTTGTTTTTCTTCATCGAGAAGTAAACCAATTCCAAAATTCCTTGACTTCGTACGAGATAGTCTCTTTGGGCCAACTTTTGCAACCGTTCTTTCTCTTCTATTTCCACTATTACTTGAGGATCAAACGAATTATTATAATCACTTCTGACGCTCAGAGGTATGGACGAAGCCCTTGATATTGACTTGGTGGAAGCTAATTCCATTCCTGGAGGTTTTGGCTTGGAACTTACTCGTTTAGCAGCTTCTAACTTTGCTCTTAGCTGCATTTCGTCACGCAAAGCATTTTGAGCAGCTTCTCTGGCTCTACTGCAGGCTGTGTCGCAATATAAGGAATGCTGTCCTTGATCAAAATATTTAGCGTAGTTGTGTTCTGTATTTGTACAAGGATAAACTAGTCTGAATCCTCCTCTATTTACCATCTCCGCTTTGAAATACTCGGTGAAGCATTTTAAATCGCCTGAGAGATGACTATCTTTTGTAGTCACCCCACTAAGAAGCCTTTCTCTTATTCTCTTACGATCTTCTCTGATTACCTTACGCTTGTCGCAATGCTCTAAGTTCATCATAGCGAACATGTCTGTCAGTAACGCGTCTTTCACTTCTACATCTAGTTCTGTATCGGTATGAAAACTAGGAGAATGATTTACCTCTAATATCTGGGGATTTAATCTTTTATCTAGAAGAATATCTATGCCTAACAGTTCGCAACAAGCAGGTAGTACATCGTGGTTTGGAAAGCAAGCAGCATAGCTGTGCTTTAAAACTGGATAAGCACTTATAATGGTTTTTATTATAACATCATCGATCCTGTACCAGATGGCTTCAACGTCATGATGCAGCCCATTTAAATAATTATTCAGCCATGACAGTTTGCGTTTGCTGCCAGCTTCTTGGTCTTGATTGTACGTCCTACTGTGTTTGTTTACTGCATAATTGGTTAAATGCATAAAAACGTTTGTAATATTAATACCGTTAGGTTCTTTGTATCTACTAGTTGCAAATCGCACCAAGCCTTCATTGTAAATATAAACTCGCAGAGGATCACAGGCAGTGATAAGCGTGTACACTCTTAGATCAAATTTATACCCATCTATGAGAAACGGTTTGGATAAGTAAACTTGACAAATACCCCTATCGCAAGGTCGAATATCCTTCAAAGACTTTGTTATGACAATACCTCGACCTTGACTGCCGGCATCGGGTTTTAGTATAAAGGTTTTGTTCTTTCTGACACGACTGTATGTTATGGCTTCGCCTAGGTCTGCCGGAAAGCACCAGGTCTTCGGAAAAAAATTGTAATCTCTAGGAAAGAGTCGTAGCATTCTGTTCAAATTTCGGGCGAGGAGATCTTTTCTGCAAATTTCGAGCATGCCTAAAAACAATTCGTTACTTAGTTCGATCGTTCTGCCGGTTACATGGTGAGACAAAAGTAAAAGGTATCTAGAGACACCTCTGCAAGAATTTTTAAATAAAGGGTTTCAATATAAATATTTTATTTGAGTTTACATTCAAAATGGCGATTAACAAAATATTTTGTAAACTATGAGTTCTACAACAAATATGTTTTGAAACTTTTTGTAGAGTATTATGAACTTAATATTTACAAAAATAAAGTACGGCAAACTATATAAAATATCATTTTATTTGGAAAATTGAATTTGATGCAGAGCTCTTAGAAGTCACAACAAAGGAATACTGAATTAATATTTTTATATTTATTCCTACCACTTAAATAAGTAAGATTTTAAAGTTTTTGACAAAAATGTAGATAATTTTGTTGGCCACAAAAAGTTTATGATTTTCACGATAAAACATGTCAAACATGTTATTAAGAATGTAACTACCAAGAACAGTTTTAAACTAAATTTATAGGTAATCGCATGTTCTCAAAGTTTTATAAAAGGTATTTTTATAGGGTTTATCATTAACATATTTAAAATCAATTAAGTAACAGGGAAAACTATTACCATCTACTTTGATACCCAATCAGCTCTTTCACCAGAAATCAACTTACGATTGATGAAAGACTGCCTAGAAGACCTAATAGAACTACGTTGTCAGATCACGAAGGATATCGGGACATTGAGAAGGACGACGAACTAACGCGAGAAGGCTTAGATAAGATAATGACAGGCCCCGAAGCCTTCAGTGGAGTTGCTAAGGCATTGTTTGGGGCATCCGTCAAAAATGAATGCAAAAGAGTCTCAGGAATAGTGGAACAACTATCTAGAATTGAGACAAGCAAAAGAATTCAGTCATGTTTACGAAATACCTATCGGATCAAAAATGTTAAATCGTTGTCGCCTAAGATGTTATCAGGGGATAAAAGACCTATGTTCTGTGTTGAACTATTAAATTAAGAACTTTAAAGCTCAAATATATTTTTGTTATATAGGCCCTTCATCTACCTATGTCTTCAATTGGGTGTAACAAGTATATCAATTTGGAAATAGATGCAAAAATTACCGGGGAAATGGTTAATTTTTTGAAACCTCTTCATTTCTTTGCATCTATCAACGGTTATGGATAAGTCTGTCCAGTACATGTTCCAGTTTTCACCTTCCGAAACTTCGCGATAACCAAACTTTTGAGCGACCCTCCTAATGACATCGTATCTGCAATGCGTGAGACAAACTGTTACCGTTCGTTTCTTTTTTCCCTTTTTCTTTGTTCCAATTTCCTTTTTTTCTTTGATAGCCGGTAACGGTTGGTTTGTTGTTTTTTGAGTATCGGATTGAGTTTGTTGTTTCTCGTCGCTGGATGACCAGTCGGAGGATTCACTGTCTTCGTTTATATGTAGGTTGACTGATGATTCGTTAGCCATTGACTATTATTATTCTTATCGTAAAGGCTTTTCAAACATGATACAAATTTGTATGTGACGTGGGTCACATCGGTTGACATTACTAAAATTTTTATTTCAATGTCAACTCGATTGCTATCAGCTGATGACAGAGATGTTTTTGATCGGCAGGGATGGCGTGCTATTTTTGACAAATTTTTGATAGTAATGCCTACCTTAATCAAACCGTACTATGAATTCCAAAAACTTAATCACTAAATTCAATAACGAAACAAAATCCATGTAGAACGCCAAAAGATATTTTATTTCAGCTTTTTTTTATTACTACAGGTTACCGGTTTCCGCTCGAGTGCTATTTTCAGGCGTAGGTAACATACCTCAATATATTATGGTCAGATAGATAATCATATTAGAAAGATTTGTAGCTTCTTTTGCCAAAATATCAATTCAGACAAACTTAATAAAATATTCGAGCTCATAAATATATTTTTTGATATTTCACATAGTGTTGGACATTGAAGAACTCCTGAACGATAAATTGCTAATATCTAACGCAGATTTTGAATATGATATTCTAACAGCATTAGATGGGTTTTATTTAAATAAGTACACGTGGCTACTACGTCTCTAAGTTTTTTCTACATGAAATAAGTAGTTATCGAAAAAGAAAATTGGGAAGTACTTACATCATAATTTAACACTACATAATCGGCTGTAGGAAATCGGATAAGATTGTGATATCGAATCACTACCGCCAAATAAAATGGAAACTATCTCAAGTCACTTTTACTCGATTATCGCCGACAGTATTGACCTTAATCAAGGTAGACTGGATTGGAATTACGAAAATAAAAAAATAAGGAAGTATCTTCACTGTAGGTTAGTTTTACTTAAAACATGATGTGGTTACAATTGGCAATTCTGTCATTAGGTGCTGTTTTTGTATGTGAAGCAATGGTTGTACAAGGTACGTTATTTTTTTTTAATTATATACAATAATTGTATTGTAAATTTTCAGTCTAAATAACAATTTTTAAATTATATTCTGAAATAATTGTGTTGAAATATAGGTACCCCTTTTTTAATCTCTGGTTTTTAGTATACAGGATGACTAAATACTTGTTTTTCATCTTATATTAAATTTTTAGGGCAAACAAAACAAAATTATCCCTGTCATGTATTATGTAATTTTTTTAATATAAAATATATTTTTTCTACGTTCATGCAAAAAATAAAACTTTATTAAACTATATTTAGTGAAAAAACTGGTTCTTTATTGCACTAGTGCAATAAAAATTTTATTGCACTCATCTGTCATTTTACTACAGCGTTTTGTGATCATGACAAACATAAATATTCAAATCAACGCCAAATATTTAGTTCATTTTCATTTTCTGTGTTACGTTTTAAAAACAATTGCATATTTTATATTATTTTCAATCATTTAATAAATAAATTAATAAAAAAATGTATTTTATTAAAAATGTCATTGCAAATTATGAACATAAACAAATGCCTCAAACAAAGGTACACGATCACGGCTACTATGATTTGGATAATACAACTGCAGTTCTATAAAACATTTTTTGGTTTTGGCATGAACGTAGAAAAAATATTGTATGTAACTCGTGCAAAAAGTGTTTATAGCACTCGACAATTTCAGGTCGCGTGCAATAAACACTTACTTTTTGCACTTGTTGCATAAATAACTATTTTAACCACTTTGCTTGGGATAGTGATTGACACAGGTGCTTTTTGGTAAAGTATAATGTTGTTACATGCCTCTGGAGTATATTTAATTTTCAGACGACTGCCGAAATTTGCAGTGGGCTCATCTACTAATTCTAAATTATATTTTTATTTATTTATTTATTTATTTATTTTTTTTTTCAGAATTTTGTATGACTCCATATCTCCACCAAGGTTTATGTATACCCCTGCAGGAGTGCCCTTCAATTTTTGAAATGGCTTCAGATTTCAATACACCCATGACACTAGAAAGATTGGATTTTCTTATCGAATCGCAATGCGGATACGATGGCTACAATCCAAAAGTTTGTTGTCCCGTTGCAGAACTTGTAAGATCGCAAGTGAATTAAGACTTTTACAATTTTTCCGATGGCAGTATTGGCCAGGCGGTATGATACTGTATGTATACTCTATTATAACGATCCAATTTCACAGAATGATATTTATTACTTGACATTTTCATTGTAAATAATAAAGTTAATTGCCTCGAAATAATATTGCAACAAAAAAAAATAAGAATCAAACAATTCATTTAATACAAAATCAATTAAAATTTACGTAAAACTACAGGCATCGCAACCTAATTTGTCTAAAGAGGGGATGCGCGTTAATCTCGAATTTTAATTGTCAACGCCTACTGTAACTGTTAAAGAGAGATGCAAACAATAGCCGTGTTGTCGGATGTGATCAGTAGATGATATTTTCTTGAATTTTTGTTTGTGTGGCGTGGAGATTTTGAGTTATTTTATTTTTATTTGTTTGTAGTGTTTTCTTTTGAGTAGTGACTTACTTGTGTTAAAATTTTATGAAAAAAAATGTTCCTCGGCTACAAATAGTTTCAAAAAAAAAAAAACAACGATGATAGTGAAACTTATAGATAATGTGTTGTGAACGATGATCCCAAAACTCTTACTGAAATTAAAGAACAAGTTGCTGAAGCTACAGGATACTCGGTAAAAACAATTGAACGAATAATTATAGAAGGTTAGAAATTAAAAGGTGAAAAGTCTACGTCGACCATACCTAAACAATTGTATAAAAGTCCAAAAAAGCGCAAAAGAACATCAAGTGTAACAGATATTCCATCCTACAATATTGGAACAATCAGAGATATAGTTCATAGATTTCACGAAACAGAAGATATGCGCGTAACAGTCAAAACTCTTAGTGAAAAATTAAAAAAGGAAATTGAGTGGAAAGGGGACTACACATCAATAAGAAATATTTAAAAAAAAATTGGGTTCAAGTGGCGAAAAAAGCGAAACAACAGACCGGTTCAAATAGAACGGCTTGACATCAGGGAAAAAAGAATAGATTATATTAAAAAAATTAGATATTTTCGTTCTTAAAACCATTCCATTGTATATATTGGTAAAACTTATATACATAGTAGCCATAAATCATCACATAATTGGGGTGATAATAATGCAAAAGGTTTGTTTTCAACCATTTCGAAAGGAAAGAGACTTATTATAGTTTATGCTGGTGGTAACATGGGCTTTATTCCTAACAGTTTATTTATGTTTGTGTCTGGGGCCAAATCTGGTGATTATCATAATGATATGAATGAAGAAAATTATGAAAAGTGGCTAAGAGTACTGTTAATACCAAATTTACCACCAAATGCTATTGTATCACAATGTTATAGAAAATTCTGCTCCGAATTCAAATTTAAGAAAAGCTGAAATGATAAACTGGTTGACGTCCAACAATATTGAATTTTAATCTTCCTTATTATGACCACAGCTGTACACATTAATCAAACAGCATAAAAATAGATTCAAGCAATACAAATTTGATAGATTATTCTCCGAACACGGTCACACTGTTTTGAGATTACCACCATACCACCCAGACTTAAATCCAATAGAAATGATCTGGGCTATAGTAAAAAATAATGTAGCTACAAAGAATATTCATTTTAAATTAGCACATGTACAAATGTTAGCTGAAATTGAATTTAAATCAGTAACCTAAGAAGACTGGAAAAAAATATGTGCACATGTATTAGACAGCTAAATAGAAGATAAATATTTAGATCGCGAAATTATAATGGATGACGTTGTAATTCCTACAGTTATTATTAATGTTAATGAAGACAGCAGTGATAGTTCTAGTGATAGTGATGATTTTGATGACGATTTTTTGGAACTCTGTTAATTTGTTTATGTTTATTTTGTTAAATAGTAGTTATAGCAATAAGGAATAGAGGTTAGTGTAAATTCAGTATTTGTTGACCTATAACATATTTTTAAAAAATCCTCGTTGTCTTATTTTAATATTTGTATGCTGATGACTTTCACTACTTCTACTTCACCCTCACATTTGGTTAAAATATTAAGGATATCAAGTGCAAAATCACCATTTTTTTCACCTAATAAATTTTTTGAACAGAATACATTTATGCTCATAGACAACAAATAAATTTTACCAAATTCTGTAGTACTTAAAAACCTATTAACATAATTGCGTTTGATCCATTGTGTAGGTAATCTGGTATTTTCCATAATACCATCAACTGATAGCCACTGCTGACAAAACATTCTTAGAAACGAGGGCGGACTCGATTTGTTGAGTAATTTTCTTAAAATTTTGTGATTAATCTGACAGTGATCGGTTTAAAAATCCTAGAAAATTTATTTTAAGCGAAAGTAGTATACGCTACTGAGCTTTAAAAGTTGCCAGTAAGATCGTTTAAAGGTGTGTCAGCAGTGCGCAAACTTTACCCCACCACTGACAAATTAGGATGCGATGCCTGTACAGAAATTGATAAAAATATTTAAACTGGTCATTACTCAGCGTTAACTGATATCGAACTGAGCGCAAACATCAACGACTGAAGTTAATAAATGACTAGGCGCGATCTGCTTTGTTTATAATGAACTCAAAATAAACGAGAACTGAACGCCAACTGAACGAAGTTTATAAATCCAGCTTTACGCCTCTTTGTTACGGTAAACGTAGTTAATTTGAATACTAACAATATTTTCCGGTTAATTAACAAAATACTTGGTAATTGACGTCATTATCCGGTCAAGGATACTGCTTGAGATAGTAAGTATTGTTAGTCATTAAATGGTTAATGTTGATACTTAGGTCATTAAAAGTAATATTTACTCCTGTGAAGGCGCTTATTGGCTATAATTCAAAACAAGCAGTAGAAGCAATAGTTTTGAATGAAGTTAAAGATGAAATAGATCTGGAAGATCTTTGATGTAAAATTTCAGTTCACATATATTAGGGAGAGTATTATTATTAAACAGGGTGTTATTGAAATACACGTACATATTAAAATGGGGAATAGTATGTAATGACCAAAAACGATTGGCACCAATTTTAACTTCAAATTCTAAAATTTAAATATTAGGGAAGAGTCCCCTTTTCCGACCTACTAGTTTCCATATTTAAAGAAGTAAAATAAATCGAAATTGAACTTACCCATAGAAATTGCACTGTTGCCGTAGCAAAACCAATTAATTCAAAATAAAGTTTATTACAGTAATTGTTCAAAATGCCGTCCATTATTATTTACACACACTTGCAATCGTCTTTCCAAAGAACTTTGAACATTAGAAATTAGTCTTGGATTTTGTCGTAGTTCCTCGGCTACCGCATTAACTTTATTGGTTAATTGTTCAACACTATTAATAGGTTCATTATAAACCAGTTGTTTCATGTGACCCCACAAAAAGAAATCGCATGGATTTAAGTCCGGAGATCTTAGTAGGTCCATTTCTGCCTATCCACTTTTGAGGAAATCTAATGTTCAAAAACTGCCGTACGTTTAAATCAAAGTGAGGAGGAGCGCCATCTAGTAGGTACCACATCCGTTGCCTTAATTGTAACGGTATCTCTTCTAGGAGTACTGGCAAAATATCTTCTAAAAAGTGGAGATATCCTGGCCCATTTAATCTGTTCGGGAGAACATAAGGCCCTATTAAATACTGATCTATTATGCCAGCCCAAACATTTATTGAAAATTTTCTTTGATGCCCAGTTTCCCTAATGGCGTGAGGATTTTCATCACTCCAAATATGCGTATTGTGCATATTGAACACGCCATCACGAGTGAATGAAGCCTCGTCAGTATACAATAATATTTTTAGAAAATCAGGAATATCAACACATTTTTGAATCATCCATTCACAAAACTCCACTCTCTTTTCTTCATCACCTGGATATAAGGCCTGGACTTTTTGGATGTGATAAGGATGTAAACCTTGTTCTTTAAGTGTCCGCCACACAACAAATGAGGACACTCCAATTTCAAGACCTAGTCTTCTACAACTTAATTGAGGCCGGTTTTCAACAGCTTCCAATATTTCTTCTTCGGCCGCCAATGTTCTTTGTGTTCTTGTTCTCCCTCGATCTGCATTGACACTCTCAAATTTTCCATGGTCTCTTAGATGCTGAACAGTTGAAATAAACGTACGACAGTCCGGAATTCTCCGATTTGGAAACCGTTCGCGATACAGGATTTGTGCTTGCCGAGAATTTTCTCCAGCTGCCCCATAAACCAGCACTATATCCGTTAGTTCAATATTCGTAAATAGTGGCATCGTAAAAAATATTTAAAAGTAATCGTAACAACACTTTTTACCAACTTGGAAATGACGCGCTCGTGTTAGCCAGATTCGTAAATCAACTAAAATTTTAATAATCTATAGTTTCAAAAATGTATAGTTTAAAAACAATCATTTATCAAATATTCTAGTTTTTTGATAACGAGGGTAGTAAAAACCAGTCTTCGGAAATAGAAATTAATTCGAAAATCTTGGCAACATGGTTATTTCTTACAAGACTAGTTTTCTTATCACCTGACAAAAACTTGCATATTAATTACTGTTGATGTTTAAAATAGGTAAATAAACCTAATTATATACGTCATCCTCAACATATCAGTGAAGTACGTTTGTTTTAGAATTAATTTTCAAAAATTAATAACTCCGTTTTTAAGGGGTATTTTTAAAAAATAATATTTTTCTACATTCAGTGGGGATCTGCGCAATACCCAGTTTTAATATGTACGTGTATTTCAATAACACCCTGTATATAGGAAGACCAGAAAAAAAAAAACAAGGAAATGATCGAATTTTACTTTCTCTGAAGTGACATTTACAGTACTGATCAATCATAAATTTATGTCTTTTATTAAATTTGTGTTAATATTGATTGATGTAATCGCACATTCTGGAAATATTCATTTAGCTTACCAAAGATGCCGCTAGATAAGTTTAATAAAAAAAAAATAACTTTTTAAAAAAATAATTTTACTTCACCCCCTCCCCTTCTTCTCTACTGCAATTTCTTTATTTTTAACAACTTATCTACTTTGATAAAAAATAAAGAATAACAATTTTACATTAATTTATAAGTTAGCATGCGCTGATGCAGCAGGTCAAAGACCGGCTTGCAAACTTGCATATAGAGTTTTCATATAACTCCTCCCCTGTTGGATGAAGCATTCGGGTTCTTCAAAAGTCGAAGGCTAAATAATTTTGAGTTCCGTTTTTTTTTTTAATAATTTCTCAATATGTTTGTTTTTCTACAAAACACAGACAATGGTTAGGTTCGCCAGGGTGCTGATAAAAGTTCATTGGAGCCAAGTTTTTGATTTTGGCTTATCGATGTCATCTATGGAAAATTGATTTATAGCTGATATTTGGTTTTGAATTTTGTGAATATCTTCTAATGGAATGCTGTCTATCGATAAAGGTTTTTGGTTCAAAGTATGAAAATGTGCATTGTCTCTATGGATAGTATGTAAAATTAGTGATTTTCCAAAAGTTCTGGTTGTGCTGAACACCAATGAACATCATTAAATGTTTCCATGTTATGTAATGTGCTGCAAAATTCCTAGATATGTTTGATTGGAAATAACTTCGATTGTTATTTGATTTTTGGATTGTAGGATTACTAGAACTAGTAGACATTGGTTCCGGTTTATTAGCAGGGATTTGACCGGTTGGTTTAAATACGTCTGTTGGAGGTCCGAAAACTTATCTATTTGTAAAATATTGTTAAGGTTGTATGTTAAATGGTTGAGAAGGAAATTGATTGTATGAATTATTTCTAAAATTCTGATTGTTATAACCATTAAAATTATTTTAGAAACTATAATTAGGACCTTGGTATAAGTTTGGTCTTTGATTATTGAAATTTTGATCTATGTGGCAGCTTCTCGACGCAGTGCGTTTGTCTCTACATGGCTAGCGCTAGACTTTCTGTCGTGGGTACGGTAATAAACAAAGAATAGGGTTGGCATGCGCGATAATATGTATGTTTTCTTTCTTAATTATATATGTGCATTTATCAGTCTTCAACGACTTTTATTAGACTTTTATGTTGGTAAGATAATAAATAATAATTCACATAGATGGACTTTTTCGTTGGTAATGAAATAATTTGCTTCTAGACGTCTATACCAATAAAAAATCCCTTTGCAAGCATTTTTTGTCATCCGGTTTTGCTACTCTCGATGTAGGAAAATTTCTAAACTTTCCCCGAAAGTGGCAAAACCGAACAAAAAATACTTCCAAAGGGATTTTTTATTGTTATAGACGTATAGAAGCAAATTATTTCATTGCAAGCAACAAATGAAAAACTCCATAGATGTGAAAGATTATTTTGAATTTGACAGTTAAGACGACAGCTCTTACCATCGGTACATAGTATATGTTGTTTAGCTTCCTCTCCTGTACCTGACTACAAATAGCAAGCAAAAAACACGACATGCTCTTTTTTGCAGTCAGGTGAGGGACTATAACGTTTAGGTAGCCGTCCGCTTCCAGTTTTTCGGCCAATACTACTAGTGTTTCTGAATAACTGCAAAGACTTTGTCAAAACATTGTAGCCAAACACTAATTCAAGATAGTCTTCAACAAAATCAGCGATGCATTCTCGAATTGAATACTGCCTCTCGCCATTTACTTTCACAGCTGTTTGTACAGAAGTAACATTTGATACATTTTGATTTTTGCTCTGTGTTTTTTAAATTTAATTTTCTAAATACATGTTTTAACAAATTTGACACAAACGCTTAGTTTCAATTTAAAGGTTAAAATGTCATTCTGTGGATGTGGCTAAAGTACCAACCCAAAATTTAAATTTTACATCCTTCTCTAATTATGTATTTTCTTGATGGTACGTTAGTATATTCATTGTTTATTACTTTTTAGGTGATGTCCTGTTAAATAAATAAATAAATAAATGTAGAAGAAACGTATTATGATTATTAGTAGAAGTATTTTAAGATATTTATAAATTGTAAACCATTTATTTTGTTAACAACTAATATATTTTTTGTTAAAATAAATTATATTTGTTTTTTAATGTCAAACTGATGTTTTTAATAATTGTAATAAAAGGAGTATACAATGTAAAACATATTATTGAGTAATTTCTTGTGTGTTTTTACCAAATGTAAAGTAATTTTAGATACAAGATTATATTGTAGATCTATAGTGTCAAGTTATCTTACTAACAGAAAACAAATCCTTAAAATTAGATAAACATACAGCTGTGAATAAAGAATTAAAATGGATATACCACAAGGCAATATCAAGCATGAATAGTTTTAACAAAGCAATTCCAAATAATTAGAAATCCATTAAATTACATTTGGTACATTTCAACAGTAAGTCCATTGGGGTTGCTTTACTCCAAATCAATGCTTCTATCTCAAGATTTGAAGAAAATGTCCATGGAAAAAGGAAACAATTTAAAATGGATTTTTAAATTGGGAAAATATTTATAATGTCTAATTTTTACTGACAAGATTATAATACATATTTACTATTCGAAAATAATAAAATATACATTATTTTAGAATATATGCTATTAATATTAATATCAAACATATTTCATGACAACTAGAATAAGACTAAGTAAAAGAAAATCTCTGCTTTATTTCACGTTTAGCTAGCTGAAGAATCCTGAGAAAATAAAATGATAATCATACAATTAAATTATTATAAGATACCTTAAGAATTTAACATTTATAACTTATTATTACAATAATTGAATAAAAAATAAAAATTTACATATTAAAATATATTTGCATTTTAACAAAATAGCAAAAATATTGTTTTCCAAAGTAGGCATTACGCTTCAGAATATCAACGCAAATCTGACGTTTTTCATGAACTGGCATTAAGTCGCACTTTTAGGAACGCCAATTGAATTACCATTACTATATGATTTCTGAGCAAACATATTTTTCCCAAACATTAAAAAACTCCTGTCCAAAAATCAGAAAAAGGAGACCAACTTAATGGCTGCCGTCAAACGTGTTTAGTTAATGACTCGCGAACAACGACACAATTTGTTTTCTTTCGTCTCTGACATCCAAAACGCACTCCGGCCTAATAATCTATCACTGGATTGTAAGGCTAACAAGTAAAAACAAAAGTTCTATGTCGCCGCGTCCCATGTCCCCACAAATCGGAAATTCACCATCACAACAAAGTTCCATACATCAAACTCAATTTTTTGCTTGCGCTTCGTCCGGCATCTAGCATTTTAGCGTTCGATGATTAGAAAAAGCATTAGGGAAAATATATTTGGCATAAACGTATAGTGCGGAAGATTAGTTCAGTTTTTTTTAGATACTACGTCAGATCATTCTACGGTAAAACTTCAAGATTTCTGTCCCACCATAAACAGCTTATAACTCGAGAATAGAAAAGATATTGACGTGTAGTTGCTTCCCAATTTTTGTTGACATTGTTGTCAAAATCATATTTTTATGAAGCAAAATTATCGATTTACTTTAAAAATGTATACATTGTGGTCATAAGTTAAAGCAACTTTGGGGGAGGTATATGTTGTTTTTTTAATCAACGTCAAAAACATCTAATTAAAGCTATATATTTGATTTATTTATTTATTTACGGGCAAAGCCCAACTCGGTTTAAATATAAAATATAATAAAATACAACAGAATATAATTAAATACAATAAAATAGAACTACCATAAAAATTAAGAAAAATGCAAAATAAAAATGAAAAATAATTCACATAACATATATTCATGCGATTATATAACAAACTAGACACTAATGTAAAAAACAGCAATTAAATTATAATAAGTGCAAATGGAAAATATGAACTTACACGTGGCGTTCAAATATTTAGTGTTTCTTAAATCTCTGAAGAAAACTGTCAAAAAGTTGAGTATCATTAAAAGAATTAGCTAGTCTAAGTGTTCTAGGAATGAATGTATTAAGGTAGTTCACTCGTAAAACGGCCTTTCTTAAGAATTCATTAAAATTGAAATATGAGGTTAATGAAAGTATCTTTTATGTACCTAAAAAAAAATTAAAAATTTTGACCGTCTGTAAAACGAGATATTAACAATCAAAATGTGCATAATTAACACTCTTGAAGTCCTGCCATGTACACAATCATTGCATTTATTTCAAGATATCTCGAAAACGGTTCTTACCATATTATTTAAAAACTAATGTAATGTAAATCAAGAAGTTATAAAATTTTCTAAAAAAACGCTGAATTTTTTTACCGTCTTGATAAAGAAATATAGATTTTTAAAATAAAAATGTTCTTAAAGCAGTCGACGCATAGTGGCGTACTGTGATTACAAGTTGACAACGTTGTAATCGATACACTCGATGCCCGCTAATTCAAATGTCTGTTAGATCAGTGCTTCCCAACTTTTTTATTGCCGCGCACAGGTCAAGTTTATCACTTTATTGAGGCCTTCTGGGAAGTGACGTTGTTTATACTTTAGGTTGATATGATTTAACAATTTAAATTTAATTGTATTTAAACATGCTGTCAAAATTAAATAAATATGCAAAAGATGAATATAATTTTATTTAAACATGCCTTCAAAATAAAATACACTTACACAAAAAAAATGAATATAAAGTAATTTAAAATTTTAACTTACTAGTATGAAGAAGTCATAAAAAAATACAAATAAAAGTAATGATTTTCTGTAGTATTGATGATATCGTAGGAACGTTCATGACAGCAAGAAATTTATTTAAAGCAGTTTGACCAATCCCTGAATGGACAGCACCTTTAAATAAATAAAATTATATTAATTATAATAAAAAAATTATAAACATAACAAATACTTATGTATTTTTTTTAAATTTACCTAGAACTGCTTTAATGTTGACATCTGAATGCTTAACTTCACTTTTTGTTGCATGAACTTTGTCCATAGGTACTATAGTTTCAATATTACAATTATTACATTTAACATTTAAAATTGAATAAAGGCCCTTTCATGTTTCATTTGTAATATTTTCAAGAAAAAGAACTCTTTCACACCAGCAACATTTTAAATGTTTTCCCAACTCTAGTAATTCCACAATGCGACCACTGCACAGGTTATTTTTCAAGCTTGGGGTTTCCTTTCTCAATTTTTTTACATTATTTATAACCAAAATTGATTTTTTGCATTTGTTGAGGACGTTCTGCTTAACTTTTCCCTTATCTCGCAATTAATTGATTCTGACAATGAAACATTTTGATATTTACATTTATTTTACTTTAGGAATACAGTTGACGTTTCACAATATATTTGCGACGTTGCCGGATGGATTTTACGCGACATAATACCATATTTGTATATAGGATCACATGTGTTGTGTGTACAGTCTGTTACAAAAATAACCTTTCTTTAGATTTAAGAATCTCGAACGGTTGGTATTCACTATAGGGCGATATTTTTGTGTATGACTGTCGCGAGTGAACTACCTTAGAAGAATAATTGTATCGCTAAAAATGTACATGGAATGTTTGAATTTGTCCAGTAATACGTGATGGCACAAAAAGTTTGCTTCTGGCAAAGTGATCGAGGCAATTACATCTGCCATTGATAATATTGGACAATATGGTAAGATATATTTGTTTCCTACGAAGTTCCAGAGAAGGTATGCTTAAATATTGTTGCAATTCCGCATAATTGTAGTAAATGTTAAACTTAATTGCTGTCTATGAAAACTATTTTGTACTCCATTCAGTTTACTTTTATGACTTAGGTAGTGTTAAAACCAGACTAAGGAGCAATAATCAAGTTATATCCTAAGTAAAGAGAAGTATAGAATTTTAATTGTGTTTAAAATTAGTAAAATCGCGAATTGTTCTCTTGAAAAAGGCTAGCATTTTCATTGATTATTGAAATGTAACAGTGATATGGCCATTAAAGCCCATGGAAGAGTCAAAGGTGATCCCCAGATCCTTGATTTGTCGACAGGTTCCAAAAAATGATGAAATAAACTATAATTATACGTTATTAAAAGATGGCTGCAACAAAATCTGATAATGTGTCATTTGTTAGTATTTAAGTCATTGCCATTACTAGAGCACCAACTTGCTATTTTATTTAAATCTGATTGCAAAATCTGAGTTCCATCATAATCATTAATGATCTTGAAGCACTTGTTACGTGAAATTAATTTTAAATTAATTTCAAATTTAGTTTTAACAACTTCTCCATAACCCCTCGTAACACAATTTAAATGACAACCGCTCGCTTCCTTCTCGAGATTTGCAAAGTACCGTTTGCGCACATTCCTAGTGTTTCTTTGGGCAACGGCTCCGAGATAAAACCGACTCGTGCTGATTCTACCGGCTTTTTTGGTTTATCGAGTTCAATGTGGTAGTGTGTGCCGATAAATAAGCTATATGAGTAGATTTCCATAATTATCTTGTCTTTTATATGTGCTTATTGTGTGTTAACGTTGGGATAATTGTCAGTGGCTCCAAGAAGCTCCAAAAAACTCCAAGCTTTAAGCTCCAAGTACAAGCTTTAAGCTCCAAGAAACTCCAAGCTTTAAAGTCCAAGCTTTAAGCTCCAAGAAACTCCAAGCTTTAAAGTCCAAGTTACGTACTTTCTCCAAGAAGCTCAGAGTTACGTAGTTTCTCCAAGTTCTGAGTTCCAAGTGCGAGCTCCAAGCTCCAAATATAAGTTACAAGTTCCAGGTTATGTAGCTTCTGCAAACAAGTTCCAAGTTTCTTAGTAAAGGCGAATTGTCCACGACATACGACTGGGAAGTACCGCTTTTAGAATGCCACATGCTCGAGACAATTAAACATATTAAACATCGATTCAACTTCATTCAATTCATTTTTTTTAACAGTCAATTTTATTCATTCATTTGTTTAAATTTAATTATTAAGTATTAATTTATTGTATTAATTCATTCTTTTTATTTTTTTTTATTAAATGTATTCAATTTTCTCACTTTCTTTTATTTTCCAGAACTCATAACAGATAACTTTAAGTACCAGAGACTGACTCAATTAAACAGGGCATATAAAATCAGATAAGTTTTCCAAGTTACTCAAAAACTTGGTGGCACTCAACATTTTTGTCGTTATCGTATTATAGTAT